CTACTGATAAAAACAGCCTTTTGCACGCTACAAGTGCTCATCCAACCTATTTGAAGAAGGCATTGCCTTATACGCAATTTCTCAGTTTAAAACGAATTTGCACGGAGAATTCTGAGTCTGAGAAACAGATTGTGGGAATGTATAAACAGTTTACCCTTAGGGGTTATCCTAATAAGTGGTTGGATGATGCACTGGAGAGGATTCGAGGGTCTTCAGGAGAAGTAAATGTGCAACATGAAACCTTATCTGATGCACGGATTAATAAAGTAAAATCTAATGCATTCTCGGTTGTCTGTTCTACAACATATTCAAAACATAGTCGTGAGATTAAGGATGTGATTAAAAAACATTGGCACATTTTAACCAGCGATCCTGTATGTGCACGCCTTTTCTCTGACCCCCCGTTATTCTCGCATTATAGAGCGAAGAACACAAGAGATTATCTTGTAAGATCAGACACTTTTGCTGGTAACAAGAAAAGAGATCGTATTGGTAATGAAGTAGGCTTTTATGCCTGTCATAAATGTGCCGCTTGTAAATATATACGGAGAAAACAGGTGTCTTTCAAGAGTTGCGTGACAGATCGAGTGTATTGTATGAGACAGTTTACCACTTGTGCATCCACTAATGTCATTTATCTGTTGACTTGTATGTGTCATAAACAGTATGTGGGAAAAACTAGTAGATCGATCAGAACGCGTATTATCGAACATATGAGCTCCATTAGGAGAAAGGACATAAAATCTCCGGTAGCTCGTCATTTCAGTGAAGCGGCACATTCCATAGCGGACTTGGATTTTACGGTAATATAACATATACCACAGTTTCGAAGGGGTGGTGACATGGAACGCTGTCTTATACAAACAGAATGCAAATGGATTTTTGATTTGAGATCTTTATATCCCCTTGGTATGAATGAGGAATTGGTTTTGAATAGTTTTTTTGTGATATATGTGTACAAGAAACATTTATAAGATCTATGGGTGAAATTTTGTATGAAACATCTTTTGCATTTTACGTTAATAATGTTGTATTAAGGTATTTTTGCATTAAGGAATTTTTTAACATTAAAATATATTTATAGGAATGTCTTAAGGTAAAATTGGATATATTGTATGGTGTTTTTGGGCCTGCGTGCATATTATGATGTCCATGGTGAATATTGATGTTATAATGGGTGCAGGTGTGCACTAATCAATGTGGCACTGAGGAAGAGCTTTTGTCTCGAAAACGTTTTGCACTTTTCACTTTTGCACTTTGCATCAGTAGGCCTATCTTATCTTTGGCAATAGTTTTAAAAGGCTTGAATGTCATAAGGGAGAGTGTTGTAACATTTTGTTACAATGTAAGATACTCAAACATTGATATCATATTTTCATATTTATCTGCTTGAAATGAAAAGTAGTTCGAAATCAGCCGCAGTACCTTTTAGCCAGCTCTGCCGCGTGCTCCGCTGAGACTGCATTGACCAGAAGAGAGACATTGGAGATCCCACCAGCTTTGAAGCAATCCACAATCCCTTGATTTCTTCTCTCGCAGTACCCAAAATCATCTCCTGTCACCACCAGCTTCACCTTGGGTTGAGGCATCTTCTCCTCGCCTTGCTGATGAAAGATAAAAATACTAGATTAGAGATCGACCCATAGCTTTCTTTAGGATTAATACTGATTATTTTTACATTAAAGGGATAGTTCACCCAAAAATGAAAATGTGATGTTTATCTGCTTACCCCCAGAGCATCCAAGATGTAGGTGACTTTGTTTCTTCAGTAGAACACAAATGATGATTT